CATTGTTTTGCCTAAGTAACCTGAAAAAGTCTTTCAAAACTCCAAAACATGGAAAACACTTATAAAAAATTCAAAACTGATTGAATACACCTGCATAAGATACTGAAAGTGATCCATAAAAATGGTCAAAATCAGGTGTTATCAAATGCCCATCATGAAGCCTAGCCCCAAGAGACTTCAAATCACCCTTCAATTCCATCCGATCCTCAGTAATTGCTTCGTCCCACCAGATATGTCTATATTTTGCATCATTTAAGCTGCATTTTAGAGTCCAAATCATGTGTTTTCTCATTCATTTTAGGTCTTTAGGCATCAAATAGGCTTTAGGGTTTGCATTAGGTCCCAAAGAGTTTTGCATGGTTTGGAGTCTTTATCAGGTGCATTGGAGGCTATTTGAAGCTCAAGAGGTGCGATCAGGAGTTTAAATGGGGAAGAAGAAGTTTAAAAATGGTGAAAACCGCTTCGAGGAATTTCTCGGCGAAAACTCGTACCGGCTGAATCAGAATATCGGCTAAAAATGCTTTCGGGAAGTCTTTATCGGATAAAAATCATTACCGAGTGAAAATCCCATCGGGTGAAGTTTTATGCCGAGACGGGAAGTTTTTATCGGCTAAAAAGCTTACCGCGGTACACGTTTCTCAGACATGTTCCTTACCGCGGGAAGCATTTCTCGGCTAAAATCTATTTTCACCCATGTGCATCAAAGATTGCAAATCCGGGGAATCTTCTGGTCCGAATCAGTCAACGGGGTCTGCATCAAAGTTGGAGATAATCAATCCAAGATCCCAGAGCAGTTAGAATCACATAATTCGGAGCAGTGAGTAGAAAGATATCACCACCGGAAGACACGCCTGTATCGCATGCATTCAAGAGCCGATCCGACGGGTTTCAAAGATTACGTGTGACGATGATTTTCCAGCTCTAATCAGTCTACAACGACTTTATCAATATTTTAGGTCTCTGAGTGCTCTTTCCGTAACATCTGGGATCACCCAATTTGGAGCTGTGGTTTGGAAGATATCGTCTCCGGAATAGACGTCAGTCTAAAAGCTGTTTTTCCGGTCATTCCGATGCATCGCAAAGATGAGCAATCCGGGGAGCCTTCCACTTCCCAAGCTCCGATTGTTTCTTCACAAAATTTTGAGCTGAATGAGTTATCTTGATCGTGGGACTGGTTTCATGACATTTGGAGTCGTATGCTGAAAATTACTGCAACCAGAAGACGAGTTGGTCGATACAAGCCTAGAGAGTTGCGATACGTGCTAAGTGTTTATTCAAGCCTCGGCTTAATTACCTCAGCATTGCTTAGAACGAGGCTCGTCCCCTGAACCTCTTTGGAATAGACCTCGTGCTAACTCCTCGGTGTATCAAGATCGAGGCATGCATGCTGGAGAAGCAAAGCTGAAAACGACTAAGTGTTGGACGTGAACCTCAGTTTCAAGACCTCGGTATTGCATGTCGGACTTCTCTGCCTAAATCCCTCGACTACCAAGCCCCTCGGCATTGCATGCCGAGATCCCTTGTCACAAACCCAGATTCAAGAACAGGTTGACTCGGAGAATGCACGTGAAGATGGATTGAAGACTAGGGTTCATGCATGTTCTTGACGTGTACTTCATGAGATCTTCATTTTGATCTTTGCTCACGTGCACCCCTCGGCATCAAGACCTCGGCTTCACTCTCTCACACACCGAGGTGCTCACCTGACGACCCAAGAAGAACGTTCAGTACCCGGTTTGTTCCGGGCTGACCCGCAGCACTTACCCCTCACTATAAATAGATTTTAGGACCAAAAACCTAATCACCTTTTATCTTATCTTATTTCCTGCCTGTTTTAGCTGTAAGAACTTGCCTCTTTTGTGAAACTTGATTAATCTAACCCGATATCTCGTTTTCACGTGAAGATCTTGTTCTCTTTCATTTCTTTTATTCACCAGCATCAAAGCTTCTAATCATGACCAGCTACACGTCTTGCAAAGGATTTAGTGAGCTCGTTATGATTAGTGAGTAGTCCATTTAAGAGGTTTTAGATAGGTAGATTAGGGTGTTTCCATGATAGATTAACGAGTTCAGGGGTTTAGTTTGCATGTTTCATTTCTTAGCCGATCAGCTCTCTAAGCTGGATCCAAGCACATCACTTGCGGTCCAGATCTAAGACTTTCCTCGCATCAAAAGTGTTTGAGGAAATGTCTGAACCAATCGGTTAAGGGTTTAAGAGTCTTACATCGCGAGAGTGATAGTTTGTTCTTCTTAAACGACTTATTAATTGAACTGGATTTTAAAGCTGACTGATTCATGCTTCTCAAAAGGGAATTTGGTATGAAAGAGGATCAGTTTAGATATTTTGAGTTCATGTTAAATGAAAGTGCTTGATAATATTGATTCATTAACTCACTAGTTTAGCTTGGAAACACCGAGTCCTTTATCTTGTCTAAAGCCTCTGCCTTTATCATTTATTATCATCATCCGATCATTTGCTTGTTTGCTTGTTATCATTTGCATCTTCATCTAGTCTAAATATCATCGCTTGCTTTATTTTTGTCCTTTCTTGCATTTCAAGTAGATTAGTTATCAAACCTTGCTTGATCATCTTGACTTAAGATTACAAGTAACATAGATTAGTGCTTCTCCACAAGTTTGGTTTGATAACCCCTTGTACTACAAGACATGGGATTGATACCTCTATAAAGAGCCTCAAAAACTCTTAGTTATCACCACCATTTCCAAACATGGACTCCATCCTACAAACAAAATGTCTATTATCTCAACATCCTAATCTGAAACTACCACAAGCTTTAACAATCATTTTTGCCAACTCACTGAACTGTTCGAGCATGTGTAGAAGCGCCTTCCAGGATTAGTGGTTGTGTGAGAAGTAACAAGCACCACCGTAGCAGCTCCGCAAAAGCACCTCGATGGAATACCGTGAAAACCATGATGCCGAACCCTTGAGCTGATGCTTGAACTCGATGAATCATTATTCTGACTGAGTGTCATCTTCCCTGTTACAAAATCAGAACTTCATCAACCCAGATTATCAACCCACTATGATATGATATTGAAAAAGCTCATGAAGACATATCTGCCTTGTTCTACACTGATTGGGTCCAAGATCAACTCACACAGCTCAAAGACCACTTGGAATACATTCTCACCTCATCTGGAGCCCGTCTCGAAAAAGAATCAGTCCAATCCGAGTTCAGATGAAGAAGTTATTGAGTTTTCCAATCAGGTAAACTCGAGGTTATTCAATTTGGACCTACGCGCGTTCAATGGAGGATTCCGACCAATCCAAAATGAAATATTTTATGATCCGACTTGTTCTGGAATCTTGATTCATCACAGAAGCATGGAGAATTGGAATCACTTCCAAAAGACTTCAGACTTGGAAGATATGGATTTTACAACTCAGTGATCTGCTTCAGACCCAGTTCCGCGTCCGATCCAAAGTTTGAGGTCCAGAGCCCAACTCAGAAACGATCTCGACATGAAACCAATTGGAGAATCTTAACGGATCTGTTCTGGTTCCAACAAGCCCAAGATTAGAAGAAATTGCCATCGGATCTCAGAGATACACCTCATTTGCCTAAATGGGTCAACATGGTTCTATACTTGATGATTTCTAGGCCTGATTGGTTTGAGAGCTTGCAGGCTTACGTTTGGCATCCAGGAGGCTTTTATACTAAGCCCAATATGAAGAAATGACTCAGTCCATCTTGTTTCTGATCATCAAAATTCGTTCAAAGGAGTTAAAGATACAAGAAGCTCAAGGGTTATTCAAAGAACATCAAGAGTCATTCAACTATTAGTTAATGTTTGTCTTTAATTTTAGTCTAAGTAATAATTCTGAGATTGCCTTGTTTTCTTCACATTTCTACTCTACATAATCATGTAATCTCTAAGAGATATAATCAGACTATCTTTTTATCAAACTTCTTCTTTGAGAATGATTCTCACATTTTTGTTCCTTATGAACATTTTCTGATTATTTGGAGGTTATCCTTTGATCATCTCACGGTGAGTCATATCCGTGGTTCGATTGTTGGTGAGTCATATCCATCAATCATAACTCGATCTGTTAGGTGAGTCATATCCAGACGATCACAAACTTGGCTTGTTTTGGTGTGTCATATCCAAGGAGCCATTTCGGTAAATCAGAAGCCTTTCCGCAGCTACCTGTGTGACCATTCAGTCCACATCCTTTGTTCTTTGAAGCCTTTTGGTTCCTTAGAAGCAAAGCTTATCCATTGCGAACTTCAGAGTGCCGATTCCTTGGGAGGATCGTATCACACTACGAATCTCAAATAATGACTACTAACATTACCAATTCGAGGCATAACCTTAGCTAACTTTTCTCTGATTGAATTTTAACTAAACCAAAATAAGAGAACGGAGAAAATTAATTCGAGAAGGAGAGAATGAGACTAAATACCTGTTATAGAGAAAGACTTACGCGAGAGACGAGAAAGAGGAAGGCGAAAGCTTCAAAAGGAGATTGGAAGATGAAAGGAGAAGTGTTTGGCCGGAGAAGAGTTTGGTCGGAGAAGAGTTTGATGGGATGAGAGTGTGGTGATGAGTTTGATTGGAGAAGAAGAAGATTGGAGAAGAAGAAGTCGACAGAGAACAAGAACAGTCAGAGAGTTTTGTGAGGGAGAGAACGAGGTTTGGTTGATGAAGAAGAAATTTTTCTGCGCACAACCATCAACCCTATCACAACGTCACATGTCTGCAATAAGAACGGATCCTTAAATTTTTTAATTCAGAATCGGTTCTTATCATTTAATCTATTTTTCATTTATTTTTAACCCAAATAATTATAAGAAACCTAACAAGAACCCTGCAGTAAACGTGGCCTAATAATATTTGTGCCATCGGTCCTTTACAATACCCGAACCGAACCAGAAATTTTTCGTTTGGTTTAACTTCGGTTCCCCTTTTTCTCCATCTACCCGAACAGCTTAACCCAACAAATATATGCGCACCAGCCATAGTAATCTCTTTCCAATGATAAGATGCCTCTGGTGTTATCCCGAATGCTATCACTTAACGCTACTGTGAGCCTCCCACTTTCGAACCACCGCTTAAAGCTAACATGCGCAGCATTATCCCCTCCGGTATGGAAGCAGAGCCGCCGGCGATTGATCACCGTCTCTTTATTCCTCTCCCGCTTCCTCCTCCCTAATGGTGACATCTTTCTCTTCAAATTCACCGATTCGATTCTCAATTTCCTGAAATTCAATCGAAAAGTCAATGATTCGATTTTTGCTCTACTTGTCTTTGGTATTTGTATGTTGAAAATCAGATGCCATAGCAGGTAGTTTAATTGATAAGTACGTCAAAAGGTAAATCGTCTCCAAATATATGTTTTATCTGATAATCTGAAGTTAGATTTTGCAAATGTATTTTTACGAATTTTCAGTCCAATGCTTGGTGAAAATCTCTATAACTTAAACCAGTTTTGAATAGGAAGAAACTTGATCCACTTGAAGCATATGTACCACCAGTTTTTCTAGCTCAGCTACAGATCCAAGATCTTGGTAACTTTCTGTATTTATGCGCTCACATCTTCTTAAAACTGTGTAACTAACACTATATCTAATTTATAATGTTCGGAGAGAAATTTTTGAATGTGGAGAAACCTGAATTCGAGGCTTGTAGATCGTTACTGCGGTCTGGTCCTGCTAGCTCTTTGCGTGTAAACATTCGAGCCGTAAGTTTATATGCTCAAAAAACTTGTAAACATTGTTGTTTTGCTCCTGTTCGATGATAATGTATGGGATTTAACCTCTCTTCAGGTTGCTCAGTACGCTTCAGATGCTGGTTATTCCGAAACCGCGTCTGCTGATGTTGATCGATGTCTAAGGTATTAATAGTTCTCAGGAATGTTGAACTTTACGCAGCGAATGATGATTATTTTGTATATGTATATATGTTGCGTTTACACAGAGCATTGGAAGAAATGGATTCGCTGTTTCTACGTGCGTCGAGGAAGGATCCAAATGCAACTGTTGAATTGATGAAGTCACAGCTTGGAACAGCTTTAACCGCACTGGATAGGTAATCTGTATACACACAGCGCGCACACACAGCAGAAAATATTTGCTAACCGAAGAACACTTGCTACAGTCTTCTACAAACAGTTCCTTCTCCAGTGCTTGATAAAGGGAAAGCTATGGCGGAAGTCTACAGATCACCATCCGAACAAGACGATCTTTCAGAGTCCTCTGAAATACAGCAACTCCAGTCGATACTGTGAGTGAGGTCCCAACATGGACTTTTACTATCCGAAAATAGTTCTTGATCTTACAACATTGGTATCCAAAGCTTCTGATTCTGTGTATGATCATGTATTATTAACCTCAACTGGTGAAGGAAATATAACATTTGCTTATAATAAAACCTCAATAGAGTGACTTCTTACCATATTTGCATGTATTAAATCCAGTACCATTTAAGTTAATGTATAATTTTAACTCTAATACTGAGTCTGAACTGTGTCAAAAATGAGATTTTCTTGTCTTGCAATAGATCTCACATTATTACATGTTATATATAAGGGTAAAATGAAATAGGATGACGATCTATTTCCACACGAGAACTATCATTCAGATTCCCATTAAATTATGATCCCATTTCAAATCTATACAAAATCAAAGTTTAAGATCTAAATTCCACGATTTTAAACTTTGATATTTAATTCCCCACAAATGTCGGTTTTTATGATTTGTGATCTAAAACCAAGAGCTAACCGTTAAATTACAAAACCAAACCAAAAATACCTGACCCAAACAAAAAACGCATACCCTAAACTCGACCCATATATAATTTTTTTTGTCATCCCATATATCATCATTTTAAAATCCCCAATTTGGGATCCCTAATTTAGTCTGAAAATTTCCAAATCTAAAATTTGAATAAGAACCTTAAAATTGATTTTCGATTGAATCTTCATCAATCAACAAAAAACCATATTCTTTTGATAAATAAAAATGAGATCAACTCAAAGAACATTGGTGTACTATGGTAAAGAACAATATTTGGATTGTCGTCTCCAATTTTGATTTCTTATCCCAACAGCAAAAAAAAACCTTTTTCTATTTTATTGAATTAGCTAAGGGAGAAGCTCTCCTTCAGCCTTACAGGTATCCAACGTTTCAATGGCTCCTCGATGAGATTCTCATACACTTGTATTCCTTTGATTGGTGGAGTCTTGAACATGTATCTGCAGATTCTAATCATGTTGCTGCTGCAATCTCGAGATGGAATTTCTGGGTAACCGAAAGAATGAAGCCTAAGCTGTCTCAGTTGAACTTGGCTAATGGTGATTCACATGTTTATTAGACAGTACATAATTCAATTAAGCATCCACTAATTCTTGAAAATTGAGAACAGCATATAGCAAATTAAATTGAAGGAACCAAAGTTTCTTGTTGTCGTTTGCGTAACGTCACCACTCCGATTCGCAAGCCTTATCTTTTTTCAACAGAAAAAATCCAACAAAACCACATCGTAGAAAAGGATGGAGAAATCCTAGTTTGAATATGTGTTAGAGAGAGAGAGATGTGGAAGTAGAAGATGATTGAGAAATCGACGGGAAAAAGAAGAAAAAATTGGTTTAAATTTGGAAATTCTCGGTAATTGGGTTATAAACCGGTTTAGTACATGTTATACATGGTTTAAATTTGGTTAGAAAATAATAAACCAACTAAAACCATTGTTTATGGGATTTGAAGTTTCGAACTTTGATTTCGTGGAGAATTAAGTATCGAAGTTTTAAATCCCTTGATTTAAAATGAGTTCCTACCCTGGTAGAAATCTGATGCTATATGATAGTTCTGTGGAGAAATAGATCGTCAATCCAAATGAAATCTAACATCCAACTTTTTTTAAAGAGAAAAGTAACACTTCCTGTTTGATTTCTGCACAGAATTTAGAAAAGAAAAAAGAAAAAAGCTAATGACGTCCGAAATAGCAATTATTCCGCGTCTTCTCAGATGATCATACTCAAAATGTCCGAAGTCCAAACAGCTTCCGTTATCTTACCAGATGTTACTGTCCGAAGTTGTCACCAAAAAAAGCTTGTGTGGCTCCTTGGGCTTTGCTTCTTTCCTTTGCCTTTCATCGTCTTAGCTGCTTCGCCTTTCTGCAGTGCGATGTCCTTGCGATCGATTTGAGCTTAAAAATCAGAATGGTACAAACAAACCAAACTTGAATGTGTATTGGGCGTCCGACAAAGTGGGCATTCTTGCTTCTCATTGCACCATTCCATAATGCAGCTCCTGTACATGAAATATGACTATCAACACAAGCACAATGTTCAGTGTCCATTTTGGATCTTTGGTTCTGTCGTTCGAGTGAATGTTAGTTGTTAATACAAGGTTCACATCTTATCAAAGCAGTTTGAACAGATTAACATCTGGACACATTGATATTGCTCGGACTTTATTCAATAGGGTTTTGGAGGTAACAGATCGTTAAACCATTCGATACCAGCCCCAGGACAGAGATGCAATTTCAAAAGAAGATTTATTACCAACAAAATACATGACCGCAAGGAGTGGCAGTCGGGTGCTGACGGTTGCTTAAGCAGAGAGTGCATTTCCCTACTGCCTGTAACAGCAAGTACATAACAAGGTAAAGATCTAACATAGCAAGTGGTAGCTAACTGATTTCATAATATGAGAGATGCATAAACCCCCCTTCTACTGTATCAGATACTGTGGGACCAAACCACTATTTGCTTTTTTCTTAAATAACATTTAAACAAAATTAGAGTCGGGTGCCTCTCTCCCAAGTATTTCCTTTCTCCACAATGATCAGTATCTAATATATTAGCCATTTGAACGTAACAGAGGTTTCTAAGTTGTTTATAAATATTGTACCTCCAGAGTTGAAGTTGAATCGGACGTGGACCAGTTTCCCTTTTCAACTTCTTGAGTAATTAAATTCCCCTCTTCGTTTAAAACCGGTAACCCTCTCCCTGCAATAATAATACAAAAATTATTTTATTGGAAGGTGAAATTAATAATGCATATAACAAGCTGAATATTTTCAGCATAGGTTACCATTTTCTCTCACATTCCTTTGTAGATAACTTTTACTCTAGTACCATAATAAACCATAAATTATTGACGACATTCAAATGTCAAAATCCTCAACGAATATCCTTTACGTTGGGAAATTTGTTAAAGAATGTATTAACATTCATTATGAAGGACATGAAAGCCAGACCTCCTGGCGCTTGATAAGATCCTATAGACGCCTGCTGAATTGAATTTGTGATAGATGACAAATTACTCCGACGCAAGCCCTCAGCAGCAAGGATGCACAATTGGATTAACAGGAAAACCCCGAGAATTTGGTATCTGCTCATTAAGACTTATGAGAATTCAATTACTCCGTGACAATAAAAGCCAACAGTTTCAGGTGGGAGAAGACAGAAAAATCATTACCTGGGCCTATGATTCAGTTGCTTTCCTATGAAAACATAACGAACCCCCGATGCACGTTTGGATATATGATAATACAGACCTGAACGAAACGAAGACCACTAATAAACAACATAACAAAAGCCGTATGCACTAAATAGGTTATATATTTTTAAAACTACTCACCTTCGAAGTAGAAGAGCATCAAATTGGCACGGAGAATAAGTTGTAAGACTTCACGGGCAACAGGGAGAACCTGAAAGAAGACACCACTGAATAAACCATACCCTACGCCGAAAACAATAGAACCATGAGAACTAAACTCGAGTAGTATACATTACCATAGGCCATCTCCGAATAGCTTTGTGCCACAATCTCTTAACTCTATCTTTAAACCTAGATACAGCAGAACCTGAAGTTCCCAGGTGAGATGCAGACGGAAGATCAATCATCCTTGGTGACTGGATATGATTATCACCAAAAAAATCATCAGACTGAGACTCATCAAAGGCAACCGCTTGCGTAGCAGCTCTTGAGCTGTAAACAAAGTATATTACACCATTCAATTAGAGACATTTCACAGCAGATTTTAATTTTTCCATTGTAAAACAACAATAAGAAATGCGATGAGAACCTAATTCTCTCGGCGATATACGGAACCGCAGTCTGATATAATATGAACAAAGCCCGCCTAGCTGGTGTAGGAGAGAGTCCATAAGGTCCTGCAACCTAACATTAGATCGTTCTTCATCAGAAAAGGACCAATTTTTCAACTGAAAACGCACAATACCGAAAATATAGCCTCAGAAACGCAAAATGTGTATGTGTAAGAACATTGACTTAAGCATAAAACCTGTATAATATCACAATATTCCTCTCCTAAAGTTTGTTGCCCTGAACCTGTCGTCAGAACAAAGTAAAGCATTTGCCCAAGAAGCTTCATCTGCCCAAAAAACGAAAACATCAGAAAACTGTATAATCACAAACTCTCATGGAAGCTATACACACACAAACACTCGTACCTCTTTCTGGTAAGCTAGAGCGACTCTTGTACCTAACAGGAGAAGAGCCGAGAGTTGATCAAAATTAGAGCATAATTTTGGAGAAATTAATGAAATCTCGCGATAATGATGAAACAATTTTCGGAGATTTGTATACCGAAAAGGTGTCGGAAGGCATCGCGGCAGGCTTCGTGGATGAAAGAGGCGTACTGATCGTCTTTCTCGGCTGCTCTCATTATCTCCGGCTGAGCTGCGAGCGGGAATTGCCGGATTCCATCGTGAAATCCGATCGAACCAGGTTCATCCGAATTCACATCGCTCCCAAACCTCATCTTTGCCTGACCTTGGTGGGGGTTTAGTAGATTGAGGGAGTGCCGATGATGTTTATCGATGAGGTGATGTCAGCGAGTTGGAAGAACCAGTAAAACCCGTCGATAGTCCCAACTATATTAAATACCCGCATGCAGTATATTAAATATTAAATAATTAAAAAAAACTAAAATTCACCACCTGTTTTTTCGCTGATGATTCCCTATTAATGCGTCGAGCAACGGAAGGCAGAGTGTCACACTCTGAGTGTGTAGCAATGGTCAATATCTTGAAACGCTATGAAGCTACGTCGGATCAAATGAATCAATTTTGATAAATCATCAGTAACATTTGGTGAAAAAATTCAAGATGCAGTGAACTTACGGTGAAAGAGCGGCTGAGAATTGTCAATGAAAGAGGGGTGGGGAAGTATTTGGGTCTCTCTCAGTACTTTAGTGGCTCGAAAACAGAGATGTTGACATATGTTTAATAGTAAAAACTTGTAGGTTCAAACCCAATAATCTAAACTACTCATATCATTATAGTATTTGGGTATCAATCTAAATGAAGGTTTCTAGACATTAGAACTATGATGAATCAATTCTTAATCCAAATCTAATAAAGCAAGTTGTGATCAAACAAGAACAAACTATCAAAAATAAACAAGCAATGATGATAAACTAGATAAACAAGTAGACAAAGCAAACAAGTGAAGCAAACAAAGATTCAAATTCAAAATAAGAGTAAGCTAAGCCTCTAGATATGATCATGAATCAGGGTGCTTTCAATGCTAATCTATAATGCTAAGCAAATAATGCAACACTTTTAAAATTCTAAATCAGATTAATTCATTCTCATTACAAAAATTCTTTTGTTAATTACCTAATCAAGACTAATTCTCATTAGTGAATAGACAATTAGCAAGCATGATAACCAATGTCTAAAATGACCAAACAGCCTCTTTATGCATCTAATCTAGAGCTAAGTTAAACTGAATCCTACACAGAAAGACATAGCAAGCATCACATGATCTCTAAATCCAATTAACTTAGAACTCTAAACAAGACTAATACTCTCTCAAGGCATTAATCACAATCTTAATCAATATTCAAATCTAATTCTCACTAGTGTAATGATGATCAAGATGCATCAGATATCAGTTCTAACATGTCATTTATGCTCAAACAAACATTCTCATGGCATTCAAAACATAAACTCTTAAGTTAGTTCTTTCATGCATTTCATCGAACACCTTGTGGGTGGAGAAATGCCTAAGGTCTAGATCTGAGTGATTATCAAAGATCTAGCATTAAGAGCACCTAATTAAGGAAATGAAATGAGAATCAAAAGTCTAAACATCATAAATCAAACATCTAAGCACCCTAATTTACACACCTAGAAGCTTAAAAGAAGACTACTCACTAATCATGCTTAACACACCATTTCCTTTGCAAGAGGTGATGTTAATCATGATTAAGAAACTAAAAAAAATATAAGATGATAAGAAACAGTCTTGAATGATTAAAAACGAGGTATCTCTTAACACAAAGAACAAACTTTCACAAAAGAGGTAAAGAAACAAAGAGAAACAAAAGGCGATCAAAAGATAGTTTAGGGTTTTCTCCCCAAAAAGTATTTATACTAAGGGGTCTGAACCGGGTCAGCCAAAGACAAACTAGGTACTGATCCAGTTTGGTTGGGTAAAAGATTTCTTGCTCCGCCTTGTCTTGTCTTCTCTTCACTCGGAGCACAACTTGGAGCAAAGAAATTAGGGCTTGTGTTGCACATTGTTTCAGGTCCTTCTTACTCAGAGTAGCTGATGCAGACATCAGTACCTGGAGTCATGGAGAGGACAAGTGCAACGGACATGCGAGTCTAGCCAAAGGTAAAGGAGAGACGATCTCCCTTGTTGGGAAAGTCAATGACGAAGGGGAGACGACTGTCATTGATTTGCCTTCTCTAGACTCCTATCCCATCACTAAGAAGCCATCAAACCTTTCAGCTCACGTCCCAGCCGAACCAGACCAGAAAACATCAACCGACTTGACCCGACGCCGAGAAAACCTCTCAAAGTCAACCGACGTCAATTCTGATGAGTTAAACTACTCCAGCTTCAAGATTCATCAACCAAACACCTACAAGAAGACATTTTGTCGTGGAAGAATTCCCCTGGAGCGAGTTCATTTAGAAGTTGCCCGAGACCCTCCATTTAGAGCCTACCGAGAGCCGAGTCATGAGTTCAAGCTTTGTTTCTCTTTTTCAAGTGTTGCTGCGAATTCTCAAGTCACTGGAGATCATATTAGACGTACATGGAAGAGAAAAGAAAGCTCAGAATCTATTTGGAGCGTTCACACTAAAGAAAAGCCACCTAGACCAAGACTTGCCTTAAACGGAACCGTTCACACTTGTGTTCACACCAGGCGACTTCTACACTTAAAAACTCGTGGTCCCACTTTCAAGAGACGTCCTCCAAGGCTTCTAGAAGACATATTTTGGCCAGAACAAGTTTTCCTTTTGTGCCTTAGACATTAAAATGTCAAACGGCTCTTTTCCTCATTATTAGCAAATCTTTGTTTCCTTTTTTTTTTGTTTTGTGAACGTTGAGCAGACTCTTTGTAAGCTCTTCGTCTCTTTCTTTGTTGGACACACATCTCTATTCTAATAAACTTCAGTTTTTGTTTCAAAGCTTTGTGCCTTTGATTCTGTTCTTGTTTTATCGATTTCTCTTAAGTATTGTGTGTGGAATTCCCCTTGCTTAAGAATCGATTGATCCTGTTCTTTCTAGTGTGTGATTATCCCCAGGAAAGTCAGTATCAACCCTTGTTTGTCTCAGCAAAACCGCACCTGAGCCAAGCTTCCATCATTCACCATCGATCCACCCTTCCGCATAAGCCTTTTAGAGCCATGAGGCCTTTGGTTTAAAGACTTGATTTCGAGTCTTACATCATTGGTATCAGAGCTTCAAAAGCTCCTATCTATCAGGTTATTTCGTTCCTTTCATTAGTTTTTCATTAGTTTTCATATTTCTCATAAAAATCCTAAAAGGTATTGTTTATCGTTAGATCTGTTGTTTCAATTTTATAAAAATCATAAAAAAACCTAGAAAAATTTTCTTTTGCTATTTTAGTTTCTTAACCCCTTAAAAAAGCCAAAAAAAATTGTTACTAGAAATTTAGAAATCAATTTATTAGTTTTAATCCAAGCAAACTCAAACTAGAAATTTTCTGCAATTTTTCTGTTTTGTGATTTTGTTTTGATTTGAATAAAACATTGATTTCTTTTGAATCTTCTTGTGAGAGGTACCATGGGACATGTTGTTGAAGACCCTGTTGCTACCATGGCCCGAGCCTTCACAGCCTTTCAAGATGAAGTGAGAAACATGGGCTTAAGGCTAGAACAAAACATCGCCAACATAGGCGAGAGACTTGGCTGTGTTGAAGCACCACCCAACGGTGCAAACAGAGGCGCCCCACCACCCCAAGCTGACCAGCACGAAGATAACATGCCAGATCTTGAAGATGATTTGCCCCCTGATCGAAACAGAGCCCCGGATCCACAACTACGACAACCTCGCCGGAGAGATCCAATGAACCGAAACCGGATCCGTGAAGAGGTTCAAGGGCCGAACAATGACTTGAAGATGACTCCTCCAACCTTTGCTGGGAAGGTGGATCCAGATGCCTACCTTGATTGGGAGAGACGTATGGAGTATATCTATGAGTGCTACAACTACCCGGAGCCAAAGAAAGTCACCTTTGCGGCTGCTCAACTAACTGATCATGCCCTTGCCTGGTGGGATCGAGAGATGGCTGAGAGAAGACGCTACAGAGAAGGACCACTCAATTCTTGGGTGGAGATGAAAACCTTACTCAAGGAGATATGTCCCACCTCACTACCACCGCGATCTTCAAAGAAAATTCAGAAAACTGTACCAGGGTGAAAGGACAGTAGAAGAGTACTATGATGAGTTTGAGATCTTGAGGAACAGGCTGGAGCTAGAGGAATCAGAAGAGACACTCATGTCCCATTTCATTGAAGGTCTCAATGACCGGATCGCTAGAAAAGTGGAGAGACAACCATACCATCAACTTCACGAGCTGTTGCACCTAGCCATCCAAGTGGAGCAACAGATAAAGAAGAAGACATCTACTGATCAGAAAGCTAAGTCTAATCCACCAACATGGAGTGCACCAACACCTCAGCTCATTGACAAAGGAAAGTCCCTTGAAATTGAATCTCAATTCAAAAGTAAGGTGCATGAATCCTTAAGAGATGTGCGCCAAGAGCAAGGTAAGTCTTCTACTCCTTACCACACACGTGAAGTGACTTGTTACAGATGCAAAGGAAGAGGTCACATATCACGTGACTGCCCAAACCCAAGAGTGATGATCGTTTTACCATCCGGTGACTATGAATCGCAAGATGAAGAAGAACCTGAGAATGATAAGGAGACTGTCGAATATGCTGATGAAGGAGAATCTCTGGTTATACTAAGAGCTTTAAACGCTCAGGTTTTTGAAGAAGACAAAGCCCAAAGAGAGAATCTCTTTCACACTCATTGTACCGTGAAAGACAAGGTATGTCATCTCATTATAGATAGCGGTTCTTGTACTAACATTGCAAGTTGTTTGATGATTGAGAAGCTAGGTTTTACTACTACAAGTCACCCTAGACCTTACAAGCTTAAGTGGCTGAATGACAAAGAGGAGCTGAGCGTTTCCAAACAAGTGAAAGTTCCCTTTTCAATCGGCGACTACAAAGATGAAGTAGTGTGTGATGTTGCACCAATGGAAGCTGGCCATATCCTATTAGGACGACCATGGCAGTATGACAGAGAGGTATCACACAATGGGAGAACAAACCAATACTCTTTCAGTTTTAACGATCGGAGGATCACACTTGCCCCATTAGATCATTCGGAAGTCTGTGTGATGCAAGCTAGATCAAAAGAGAAAAGGCAACTCAAGGTAAGTCTTTTTCTACAAAAATCTGAACCTTTACCTTCCTTAGAGCCCATAACACACTTGTCTTTGCCAAAAGAGTCAAAAACAGGTTATGAGAAGCTTGCGGCCACAGAGTTCATCAAGAAATCAACAAAGGATGCACTCGATATTCACTCAACGTGGAAGGACAGCAAGGCAAGAATGAAAGAACATGGCTACCTCTACTCAATGCTGATCAGAGAAGCCCCACGAATATCAGACCAACCACCAAAACCGAACCAACACCAAGGTAAGCTTCTAAACCAATACTCGGGATA